ATTTCTATCAGAATGAGGGGCCTGGAAAGAGCATGCGCTGTGGAATCACAGCTGGGGGAATGGGCTGATGAAAGTAGGTCCCGACTTTGCCATTTATTAAGCTTGTGACTGAAGATAACCTCTGAGATTTGATTTTTTTTCTTTGTCAGTGGAAGTTTATTGACTTTTGAATTGCATGGCTGCTGTGCTGTGTATTGAATAATGTGCCTGGTACATAGCTTAGGTGCCCATTAAATAGTAGCTATTGTTTTCATAACCAGATCATGATGCATCTTGTGATGTGACTTCAGGGTAGTGTAGAATCCAGTATCCTAAACTTACTAGAGTAAGTGGGATACCGAGTGCGAGAAGGTAATTAGAAATTATTATCTTTACTTTTAAAGAGATTTACAAGAATAATGGTATTAATCATTGTAATAAAATTTTGTGCATGGTGCATATCAAGTTTAATAGTGGGGAATTTTACGGGAAGATGGACAGGTTATCTTAGTTACTTTCTCTTTGCTGGGACAAAATACCAGACAATCACAAGTCAAAGAAGAAAAGGTTTATTTCAGCTCACCTCACTGCAGAGGTGTTGGTCTGTAGTTGGCTGGCTCCAAGGCAGGGAGTATGGCATAGGCCATGGCAGAGGAGAAACAGTCCGTGGTGTGGCAGGCAGGAAGCTGTGAGTCTGCCTTTCCCTTTTATTCCATTCCAGGCTACAAGCTTATTGGTTGGTGCCACCCATACCCAAGGCGGACCTTTCCGTTATCCACACCCAGAACTATGATACACCAGTCAGTGGGCTAATTCAGTTACCACACCCATAATCCAGTACCACACACCTGTGATCCAGCCACCTCCCAGCAGCCCCACCTACAAGTGCATGAGGCTTTGGGGAGACATCTAGATAATCTAGACACAAGCCATTACACAGGCCCTCCTGGTCTTTGTTTAAATATTCTCTCTCCAGCTATATCACTGTGTTCATGTCATAGTTCAGTAACCATAATATGTCTCAGTTTCTATAACTACAAGTGGGATTAGCACCTATATTACAAGGATTATTTGAAAGATGAATGAAAGTATACAGAAAACATTGAAGCATTCATGACTGAATATCAATAAATGGAAAGTGTTACCGTGATTATTGTAAATGCAAGATGAGAATTCTCCTTTCCACCCAGGGGTACCTGAAGAAGCTATAGAAAAACTATTGAATTGCTGATTTCAAAAGAGTTGCTTTGAGACTACTAATGTTAAGAAATTGAACTAGCAAGGAAAAGGCATTAACTTTTTAAGTTTCAAAGTTACACAAGCATGAAAGAGACATTTTATTCCAGCTTTTTGCAATCCGATGGGTTTATTATATCCAAAAGAAATAGGATCTGACTCCAGTTTTCTTCTCTGCTATAAAAATGATGTCCATGTGCTTTCATTTCATCACCCTTCAGCTACTTCAGAGTAATAAGAGATAGAAAAGAAACACCTGGTCCCTCTCTTAAGTGTATTAGAGTTATATTTCCCACCTACATTGTTAGCTTGGCTTTGAAGGCGAGGAAGCTTACAGTGACCCTTTTGTGTTCTCTTATAGAATAACCCCAATCAAGAATCAACTTGGCAAAGTTACATCTCAGAAATTAAAAATAAAGTTTCTTACTTTCTGAGGTCTTACATTCACCACCACCACCCCCACGCACACATCCACACTCATACGCATACAGATCCTTGGACACAGGAGGACAAATGGGAGGACTTTTGCTCCTTCTCGGTGGAAGCTGATGGTTTCTGATGTCTACCCTTTAAGGCTATCTTCTGGTAACCTACACTCTCAGCTGCTTCTGGAGCACATCAGCACTATTTTGTCTTTTTCTTCTTTGTGCTCATTTTCTTTTATCTGTGTTACCCTCAGGGTCAGATTTGTTTTTATTTCCTAAACAAAGAAGACTCTAAATCAAGAGAACTTGGAATTTTCATGACATCACCATTTGATTTGAAAAATATTTTCTTTGCTATTAATTTAGCTTTTATATTAACATAGTAAGATACTTCATGATGGACCACAAATATTAGACACTGAGTCTGTAACTGTTATCATTCACTTTTTAAAGATATAGTGACTTAATCACAGTACTTCAAGTTCTGCTTATTGCCAGGAAAAAGTGTGACTTGCTGTTGAATCTGGATAATTCTCTAGTATGGTCTGAGAATAATACGTCATGAAAGATCTCCAGAAATACACTAATGCCGTGTACACTGAACACCATAATTCTAAGAGTGCACTATACTCATAAATAGTTACCTGAAAGTATAGTTTTCCCAAAAGTATAATTCACAGTTGACATTTTAATATGTAAAACTCTCCCCACTGGAAAGTTACAAACATTAATCAAACTGCAATCTTAAGCTTCTCAATGTAATGTAAGAGCAGAAAAGCTCTAAAACAAAAGATACGACATTTAGCTTTACAAAAGCAATAAACACAAGATGGGTAAGGTGAAAGCTTCATTCCTCTGTGTCCTAGTTTTGAGGTCAGTTCTTGTCCAGAGGAATCAGTTTCATGCACAGTGGTGCCTCAGTTCACAGACACTTTTGTTTGCAAACAATTTGATTCACAGACAGAAGCATTTGACAAACTTTTGCTTCCGTTTGCGAACTCTGCATCGGGTGATGAACACAACTATGTCCATATTTCTCACGTGAACACAAACGTAGCCATCTTTTCCAAAAATGTGGAATGAATTAAATTCATGAACTGAGGTATCACTGTATCTGGTTCCTCCCCTCCGTAACAACATTTAATTCAAAAGCAATTTGAATTGGCAATTTTTCTATTTCATTACCAGAGCTTTTCACCAGTGCAGTGCCAAGCAGTTTGCGAGTATCATTTGTCATTACCCATAAAAGTCCATGCAGAGTTCACTAAATCAGGACTTCATAATTGAGAAACTGAACCCTAAATCCTGACAAAAAAATCAGGACTTCATAATTGAGAAACTGAACCCTAAATCCGCTGAGAGCTGAACAAATGTTAAATGAACTTTAATAGCAGTTCCAATTTTAGTAAATATAAACTGTTCATGTACAATTTTTGCTGTCATATTTGCCATCAAAGTGTTGAGAACACATTGGCAATGCTGCTTAAATTCACACAAGCTACAGTATTTCCTCACGGGTAGCTTAAGTGCATTTTCCATTTTGATTCTTTTGCCTTATTCATGGAACCGTATTTGGACCTATGTCACAGTACCTTGTGTGAATATATATAGTCTTTGTAATCATGATTTTTATATAAAGTCTCCTTTATAATATCTGTTAGTCACAAAAATGAACTCCTCTGACTCTTTATAATTTCTGATCTGCGTTTAGTCTAACTTCCCTGCACTTACAAGCATGGTGAATGTTTTCCTTGTTAATTACCACACATTGTGTGGGAAGCAAGTGGAGTTTAATTAAAATAAATAAAATTAAATTTCTCGTAATCATCAACATCCAGGAAATAAAATATTGATATCTTGGCTGTGATGAAATTAGGGAGGACTAATAATATCACTGCTCCTATCCTGTTTAAAAAATGCTCTTCTGTACTAAAAGCAGCAGCGGTCAGGGAGAAACACACAGATCAGGTGTGCTTCCGCTCCAGGCTTGTTATCTTCCCAAAGAAAAGTTCACAGAGTTGATAACTGGATTTAAAAAAATTCCACATCCTTTATATAAAAAGTTCTAATCATTTTATTGGAGACAAAACACATACTTAATCAGGCAGTTGTTAAATCTGTGGCCTCTGGCAGTCATTTTTAAGAGATCAAAATAGTGCTTATATGTACCGTTCACAATAGTTACTGGTATTATAACTAAAATGATGGATAGCTGACTTTGTCCTGATAACCTGACAAAACAGTTTCTAGAAACGGTCTTCATTTACCCTCTTTGGACTTATTACTGCAGTCTTCTGTGAGAAGGATCATAATAGTCTCACTAATTTGGGCCCTGAAAGTGGAATAACTACAATGAAAACATTAGATAATATATTATTTTTTTTAACAATTTCAAGAACCTTTATTGAAACCAACATCAAACAGTATCTCAATGGTGAAATTCTGTTTCAGCAAAATATATTATTATACTAAGTGTATGCATATGTGCTAACATTTAGGAAATTGTCTGAAGTCAAGAAGTGTCCTTTTTCAATGAGTATATATATATATTAAAATGAGAATATTATTCCTGCTGCACAAAGCAGTCAGCATATAATTGTGGATAGGTATCTTTCATATCTAAGCACAAAAGTATGAGAAAATTAGCTCTTATCCTTCAGTCCTCGGATTATCACTGGAGAGTTACTTTTTCATTATTTCATATGCATCTTTCTCATCTCAAATAAACGAGACTCTCTTGCAGTCAGGGACTATAATTTATGAAGCCTTTAAATTCTTTACACAGCCAAAATCATGGTGTAGACAGAGAAACAGTATCTCTTTAAGAGTACCTGGATTTCACTTTAGAGTCATAAAAATATACTTTTTTTCAGTTAGTTAAGATGTTGCATTCTTAAAAAATAGTTTTTTATTGCATTCATAAAAGTTTATCTCTTATCCACCTGAGATATCTTAGTTCCCCAAAAAAGACTCTGTAAACTAAAAATTATGAAATTTTTAAAGATACTCGAATGTGAAGTTTTAATGACTGCATTTTTAATATTTTGTCAACCGCTTCTGAATTATTGGCGTAGTTATTTAGTATTAAGAACATAAAACTAAACAATTTAATTTAATAACTCTAGCCCATTACAGTTTCTCAAGAGATGAAATAACAAATTGTAGACCAATATATGTTGATTTTTCAAAAAATAGAAATAATTTCAGATGAGCTTTCACCTAGTAAGCTAATTTTAATGTGTTAATCATATTTCAAGTGAAAAGATAACATTCACCTAGGAATAGTAATACTTTTATTGTGGTAAGCAATTGAATCAAACAGTGTAGCATTTTTTTAACATGGTCTTATGTTTTCCATAGGTGGATAAGTGGAGCAGCTGTAGTAAATGCATTTTATTCTTCAGGCAGAAATCAAATAGGTAAGCTATATTTCTTTAATATTTGCCTATTGTTCCCAACCCATAATGTACAGTGTGACCAGGTTATAATATGAAATGAAACTTGAGCTGAAGCTGAGTTATTGGTTTATTAAATATACTTCATGTACTTGTTTTCACTATAGTGGGAATATTTTAATTAGTACAAATTGTATTAATTTTGTTTCTTTTACAACATTCTTATTTATAGCTAAAATGGTTTATCTTATTTCTAAGTAGTTTATTTCTAACTACTTTTAAAAGTCTTTTTTCATATTTTTTTTTTGTACCAGAAATTGAACTTAGGACTTTGTACTTGCCAGGCAGGCACTTGTGCCACTGAGCTATATCCCCAGCCCCATTTTTCATATATTTCTATAAAATAATATTGCTTTCAGACTTACAAGGAATCAGCATTTTAAAGTGGTTCAGGCTTCTAAGAGCCAAAGTTTTACAAATCTGAATCTCCCTGTAATTATGTGTGCAGACTGGTAGACATGTCCCATTTTATAGCATCTTTGTTCCAAAATCCTCCAAGGAGTTCAGAAATTTGAAAACTCAATTTTATTAGGTTAAATCATGTGAAATTGTATTTACTTAACCACTCTGGATTAAAAAAGCAAAAATGTGTATGTTCCCTAATAGTGACATCTCAGAAATATGCATATGATCAATAATACATAAGTGAGTGATACAAGGAATAACTGAATTTCTTCATATGACAATGATTTATAGTTTTTCTTTTATGGGTTAGGCTTGGATTACTATAAATTCACTGTTGTTATACAACAAAGCTCTATTTTCAAAGGGTTTTTGGTATGTATAACAATATCCCACTGATTCAGTACTTCTAGAGGTATAGTAAATATACAGTAAGGGCAGACTTCAAGGGTGCTCAGTCTCCCCATTTATTTCTAGGTGTGGTCCAGAATCAAGAGGGCTGGTCATCCCACCACTGTTCTAAACTCCTCATTTAATATATTTGAGTCTCATCTTTTTAAAATTCTGTCACCACTTTGCTTAGAATTTTTTCTAATTTTTCAATATATTTATCATTGATTAAAAATAAACTTTTATATATCTTTTTATTTTAAAGCTTGATTATACCTTTCTTCTTTGTTTTTAAGCCTAAGAAGAGATGTACTAAGAAGTTGTTTATATTTTCTTCTAGCATTTTTATGGTTTCCTTTTTGGAAAAATTTTCATTAATCCAGACATTAATATGTGACATGACAGTGAATTATATAAAGTAATCAAAATGTTATCTTTATGTCACATAAATAAGACATGTACACCTAAGTTAAAATCAGTCAGCTCAAAGTCTAAGCTAATACATTTTCCAGGTAGGGAAATAACTATCTAAACCCAGACAAAACCAGCTTAATGATCAACTTTTCAGAACTCAGGTGGTCAGTCCTGAGTCATATATTCCTAGAAAACAATCACACTTTTTTTTTTTCTTAGAAGTGCCTTTATGTTTGGAATATCTTCACTTTTAAGATTTCTCTTTAAAAAAAAGTATCACCCTGGGGATTGAACCCTGAGCTAACCACACACTCTATAACCTCAGCCTTTGGCGACCTCTGTTTAATATTCAGTATTAAATTCTGTCATTGTAAGACCCAGTTCATTCTGTCCTGAAACCCAGTCATCATAACTAAATGTAAGTGCAATCCCAAAGCAGAGTAGGCAATTAGTCTCTTAGTTTTGCATCAGGGGAGACCAGGAATGTGCCTTCATTTTATACAGCTCAAGGAGAAACCTTGAATCCTCTCGGACCAGTGCTGATTCATCTTCAAGGACGGGGGCCAGAAAGCGCTTCTGTGACCAGTATAGCATGTTCATACCTTCAACCCTTCTGCAGGCATTGTAAAAACAGGACCTTGTGCCCCCAGCCTGGTGGGTACATACCTGAAATTGCAGCATTTAGGAAGTCTGAGAGAAGAGGATTGCAAGTTCATATCCTACATGGGCAACTAAGAAGACCCTGTCTCAAAGGTTATAGATAAATAGACAGACAGGATGTAGCTCTGTACTAAAGCTCTTCTGGGTTTGATCTTCAGTAAAACACACATGCAGATACACACAGAACAGGAACTTGCATGATTCCTAATTGTAACAAGTCCTTAGAGGTTCAAAATTGATTCACATAAGAGATTTTCTGATCAGAGAGGAGCTAGAAATGTTGTCATTTGAATTTAAGCACACAGAAAAAAGTAGAAATGGTCTACCACTTCATGTAATGGAGAGTTACTCTTTGAATCAAGAATTAGCAATAATATGCATTCTTAATATATAAGAAACACCTTTTTAAATTTTTTTCAAGATAAGCTCAACGGATGAAAATATAAAATAAAAAGCTTGCTAGCCTCTTTATGTTTGTCTGCTGATAACAGCAGTTCAGAGGAAGGGAAATGTTATGCAAGAGTTTTTGAAATGTGGACTTTGTTTCTTTGAAAACTGTTTAAATCTTCAAAATGAAGATTGTCTTAATTAAAACTAACCGAATATTCTGATCATCCTTCTCTCTGATGGAAATATGTGTGTGTATATAAATGCACCTACATTTGAATACATATTTTTCAGCAACACTGTCTTAAAGGGTTTGGTATGAAGCCCATTATAAAATTTGAGTTGATAAAGAAACATGTGCTGCATAAATAAACCTTCATGGGCTGGGGATTTAGCTCAGCGGCACAGTGCCTGCCTGGCAAGTGCGAGGTTGTGAGTTCGATTCCTGGTACCAGAAGAAAACCAAAAACAAATAAATAAATAAATAAATAAATAAATAAACCTTCATGACATAGATATATAACCCCCCCCCAAGTTAGAATGCGTACAATTTCTTATGAGGCTAGTTATTTTATATTGTTACAGGAAGAAGAAACTTATTGTCTTATAGTGAGTTACTTATGTCAGTCATTTCTACTTTTAATTGAATCTTCACCATTTTTAGTCAGAAGTCATGCATAGGGACCACATTCTAATTTGTATGCGCCCTTCACCACTTTACATTGACAGAAAAGTCAACTTCAGGACAAGAATGCATACTAAGAGCTTTTAATTCAATGTCCCTTTCCCTTGAATACTTATCTCATACAGCTCTAGAGGCCTTCCATGCTATGTCATTAGGAAAACTGCACTAGAATATTTGTCAAATGTTTTTCTATCAGTTTGCTCATGTTATTCAATGTAAAAATCCTCTTCAAGTCAAATAGAAAAATCTTAATACTGCTATGTTCTCTTTTTTCATTAAAATTGCAGTAAGACTCTTAAATCAAATTTTTTTCAGTTTCAGAAATGTCTAGGTTATTTAGTGTATTCAGCCTGTCTGTGAATACCTTGAGATGGTTACATATTCTCAGATGTTTCCTTCATTCTTAGGAGTTTAGGGTAAGAAAGTTAATGAATGTTTCCAAACATTTTGCTACTCTACTTAATGCGAAGAGAATGCTTATTTTCCACCAATTTTTTTTTCCTGATTACAAACTTGACTTTTAGCTGAAATAAGCTAAAGTGGAATTGAGTGCAACCTTAAAAAACAAACTAGAGAGCCGGGGGGATATAGCTCAGTGGCACAAGCAGCCTTCCTGGCAAGCGCAAGGTCCTGAGTTCTATTCCCGGTACAAAAAAAAAAAAAAAAAAAAAAACCCTAGAGAAAGCTCTGGATCAAGGCCAAGAAGGTAGCCGAGAAGGAAGAAGAAATCCAACCTTTTCTTACATGGACTAATGATTTACTTAATTAATTAACTTTTTGATAATCATGGACATAAAAATGCACTACTAAGCAGTTGGTTACAGACAGCAACTTTGAGGCTGACTGGTAACCCCAATAAGGCTAACGGGGGAAAGTCTTTATTACAGACATTTAGCTGACAATGTAAAAGGTAGATCACCATTTGCAAAGTTGAACTTGAAGACTAGTGCTTAATATGAGCCATAAAAATCTTATCACTTGCTTGAAGCATGGCATGTAGAGGTATAATTAAATCAACAGGATCTTTATAGTTAATGTTTAGTCTTGGTAGCACGTTTCATAAGAGCATTTTATATAATGGGTGGATTTTAATCAAAGTACATAGTGTGGGAGATAGTGCTCATTTTAAGTTAATAAAGTGCTTCACATGATTTTTATACTTTAAGCTAAAAATAATTCCTTGGCACTGTTTAGCTCAGGCAGCTACACGTGAGGTACAACTTTTATTACAATTCTCCAAGGACAAAAGTACTTTTTTATTATTTTGTCATTCAAATGTTATGGCAACTTACCAATTTTTTTTAAAGTTCTGAGGAGCAATTAAATTGCTCAGAGTGCTTTTCCACTCCAAATATCTAATATTTATCCCTGACACCCATGTAATGTTACATTGTATTTAGTTTATCTAAAAGAAAAATAAACAAGATTTATTTGTGTGAGTTAACTAGATCTTAAATTTCTTATAATCAAGGCCTTTGTCTTATAGTCTTGATATCCCAAAGCAGTGGACCAACTTTAGTTTTTGGGTTTTTTTCTACTTACAAAACAATGTTTCCATTCCTTGGCAGGTAGTAGAGCTTTAAAACATGAGACATAAAATTGCTAAAATATAATCATAATTTTAATTCATTTCTAAGGTCAAAGGTTAATCAGCTGTAAACAACATTGTCGCAAAACAATGTTTATTTATTAAACTGAGGAAATATATTTCAAGGGAAGAGAATGAAGGTGCTTCGTTAATTAAGTTCACAAATAGTGAAGGTATCGTTGGGCTGGAGTATTTATTATACAAGGACAATGAGAAGGAGCAGGAAATAGAGGGACGTGGAGAAGCAGGAAAGGACCATGGAGACCAAGACCAAAAAGAAGATGTATTTAGCTGGAGGGTGAGGAGAAGCCACCCAGAGTTTCTGAGCAGAAGAGGGGTTAAACTTTAACCTGGCTACAGAATAGATGAACAGGATAGGTGTGTTTAGGATAAATTATAGTTTGGAGAGATGAAGAGTGGGGAGAACAATTAGAAAATGAAGTAATTCTTGAGCGGAGGGAGGAACGTGAGGGAGATGGACGCGGAGCGCTGCTGGAAGATGTGTCCGCTGTGCTCTCCTCAGTAGACCACGAAGGACTGTGCAAGAGACAGGACAGCTACAGCAAACAGAAGAGTTCACCACTGGTAACTGGGACCCTTGAAGTGCTGTTAGCACAAATACTAAAATCAAGAGAGTGATAACTTGGAGGGGAATATGAGTTTGATGTTTGAGACATTAAAGTATTTATGAGACCTAAAAATGAAGAAAGTTAACATAGAAAAATAAATGACACTTTGTTCATGTATTTACTAAACTTGTTATGACACCTTAATAAATTTAAGGTTAATATTAATTAGTGTATCATTGATTACTTGTTGAATAAAAACATTTCCTGAACACTGATTATGTCCCAGGCACCACTCTGATTTTAGGTTTTGGAACTAATGAACTAAAAAACAAATAGAGCAATAAAACAGATAAATCAGTGCACATACAGAGATACAGAACTTTACTCTTAAAGCACTGATATTTGAAATGTTGGAGTGGGGGGCTGGGGATTTAGCTCAGCGGCAAAAGCGCCTGCCTGGCAAGCGCAAGGTCGTGAGTTCGGTTCCCGGTACCGGAGAAAAACCAAAAAAAAAAAAAAAAAAAGAAATGTTGTAGTGGAAGGGGGGCAATAGGAAAAAGAAGGAATTCAATCATAAGGAAATAAACAGATTATAAGGTGATCATATGTGCTCGATGAAAGTAAAATAAAGTTATCTCATAAAGGGATGTGTTTGAATTAGTGGCTCTGTTATTTAAGATGCTATTTTAGATGGAGAAAATTTTAGAGGTGACATTACAAGAAATACTATGTCTTCCAACTTAGTTGCAGGGGGAAAAAGACCTTCTGAATGTACATTATAAGTTTTCCTTGCCCTAAATGCTTTACGGCAAAAAACAATCTTAAAATATATTGCAAAGTGAACTGTGATGAATAAATCATAGATTATGAGGTCACACCATAATAGTAGTTTACTTGTTCAATAATAAAACCCTTTCATTTGTTTCTATCATAAAAGATTTTTTGTATAGACAGAAGTGAAACAGACATAGTGGAAAACAGTTTAGCAGGTAGGAAGCCAATTCTAGTCCTTCCGTCGCGGGATAGTGTCACAAATGATCTGCACCCATCTTCTCTCCTTGTAGTGTTCCCGGCTGGCATTCTGCAGCCCCCCTTCTTCAGTGCCCAGCAGTCAAACTCGCTGAATTACGGGGGCATTGGTATGGTCATAGGACATGAAATAACCCATGGCTTCGATGACAATGGTAAAGTGCGGTTCAGACTTTCCTTGAATGTATATCCTCACTGTTGGATTCAGAGGCAGTAAACTTGACTTACTGACTAGTGTATTGTTGACCTAATTGTACTATACTTTGTGGTTCCTTTAAATCGTTGCTTAAGAAGACGGAAAATTTATTAGGTATTTAATGATGTGTACTTGCATTCTAAAAATAAAACACATATCCACACTGAGAAAATCTTATGCTATTAAGAAGATTTTAAGTTTCAAATAAAGCTGAGAGGAATAGAAGTAAAGCCATGAGGTATGCGAAGAGGTGGTAATTGAAGCTATAACAAAAATTCATTCACAAGTGAACAAATAAAAAGATTAAGATAATAAATATTAACTACCAGCACTTTTAGAGAGCCAGAGAAATGAAAGGACATAGGAAAGGTACATTTTTAAAAGATCTACCAAGTGCCTATTAGATCTATAAAATGATGCATCGTTCTTAACTGGTGGGTACCAGTAATGTTTCCATTTTCAAGTGGAAACAAATATAGATACATGAGATGTGTGTGCAAGGTTGCAAAGCTGGGAACTGGTGGGCTCTGCATGTGAGTTCAGGCAGTTTGGCTTCCTACACTTTCCTAGCCCCCTACTTACTAAGTCATAGAAAATATTTTAAAAATCATAGCACATGACATACTTATGACATACTCATACTTAAAAGGTGGGGAGATAAGTGTCATTTACCAAGAAAGCTCCTGGAGAAAAAAGAAACTGTGTGTGTCCTGGGGTGTGTGTGTGTATATGTGTGTTGGAAATAAAGCAAAACTATGAACCAGTGTCTCACAAAGGGCTTGGGAATACGAAATGAAGGCCAGCCTAAAAATGTCAACCTTGTCAAATCTCAGAATATCGAATTAATCAGGTAAAACCATCCAGCAGAACGAGGCATGATTTCAGGGTTGTCTTATCTGGTGCCTCACTGAAGATATTGAGAGGCAAGTGCCTATAATACCTAAACCAATACTAAGGCACACCAGCAAAGAAGGCTCTGGAAGTCAGTCTTTCACAGCGGTATAAATGAAGGATACCAATTTCTCTCATCATCTGTCCAATTTAATGTTCTCCCATGTAGCAGTATTTTAGTCCTTGCACCTTAATGAAAAATATCTGTAGTTCTTGTTGTAAGGCATTTCCATTTTACTTAAACAAATGTGTTACAGGCAGAAATTTTAACAAGGATGGAGACCTGGTTGACTGGTGGACTCAACAGTCTGCAAATAACTTCAAGGACCAATCCCAGTGCATGGTGTACCAGTATGGGAATTTCACCTGGGACCTAGCAGGTGGACAGCATGTATGTCACTGGCTGTTTCTGGAAAAGTTTTGGATGTGTTCACTTATAATTTGATTATTGATTTTTTTTAACAATCTAATGAAAGGTCTCCTTCTTACAGCTCAATGGAATTAATACACTGGGAGAAAACATTGCCGATAATGGTGGTCTTGGCCAAGCATATAGAGTGAGTAATTTTCTCCCATTTTAGTATTCAGAGTGTTTATCATATTTAATCATTCATTTAAAGATTTTGCAAAAGAATATGTAAGATATATGCAGTAAATAGGAATAGAAAATTGAAAATGTGAGCAGAAATTGGATTGTAAATATGGTAACCACAAGGGTCAATATAGTTGATAGAACAGAATACTGGTCCCTTGAGCTTCAAAAGAAGCCAAGAAGAGGAAACATGAATGTTATACCAACAGAAACGAGGGCATATACAAGTCATGTAGTGAATGTATGTAATCCCAGCCCTCTGGGAAGCTGGGGCGGGAGAATCTAACTTTCAGTGAAGCTCAGCCTAGCAAGGGTAGTTTAGTGACTTAGTGACACCTTGGAAGGGAGGGCCAGGAAATGGAAGGGAAAGGGAAAGAAAGAATCACTGAAATGAATTTCTTAGAAAAGATGCCCCACAAAAGAATCAGTTTAGGGTTTGGGGTCAGTATAATGAAAAGGACCCTCAGTTTCCCCACAGGTGAGGACAACCATCAGCATAAGCCACAAGCATGACATACTACACCAGAGTCTGTTCTCAGTGGTACGGTGAAGGTCTGGAAATGATGTGGCCCCAGAATGTGGCTTTATCCTTGGCTCAATTAGTGCACTCACAGAAATGTCACTCGTCCCTTAGAGCGTCCCTTAGAGTCTCATGTACCCCTCCATCATCCTTACATTCAGCAGAACTTTTTGTAGGAGCTTTGCCATGTGGTTGGCTGTCCCAGGTGCTGCAGATATAACAACAAGCCTTTCATTAAAGATGTCATCATTTGATGATCTGAGTAAGAATTCATTGCGTTTACACAAAGCAGAGTACTACCGTGCCACATAGAAAGGAAAATCTGGGTCATTTGTATCAAAATGGATGCATCTTGAGACCATAATGTGAAGTGACATAAATCAGACATACACACTTAAATACCACATGGTTTCTCTTATATGAGAAACCCAAATTATAGATAAAGAGCAAAATAAGAGATAGATAATAGGAAGTAGGAAGGTAGATCTTTATCAGATGGAAGCGAGATCAAGAGGAGCAGGGAGGAGGAAAGGAAGGGAGGGAAAGGGCATGAGAAAGGAATTAAGGTGAGTTATGTACATGTGCCAACTGCACGCAAGGGTTGTACACATTATACACTGCGGACATTAAAGCACTAATACAAATAAACAAATGGATGTCTGGTAACTGCCATGTGCACAAGGGAAAGCAGGGATTGTACAAGAGTGGCAGAGTGATACTCTTGAAGCAGCAAGCAGGAGTGAAGATGAGACTGGGTCGCTTCTCTCAACCGTGAGGTGGCTCACAAGAGAGGAAGGGTGAGCAGAATCCACCCGAGGAACAAGGTGCTCCTGGGAGAGAACCAGATGTCCCAAAGAATGTTCGTGGAGTGGATGGGGAGATAGGGTTATTTGCTCACCCCAGAAATGAGGAATTAACAGGAAGAAGGAGAACGCCGGCGACCGTGCCAGCGAACAGGAAGCATCCCAACAGTATAGAGAGATGACAAGTGGGGCAGGCAGCAAAACTGGTCAGAGTTTGAGGCCTGGAAGATTAAAGCATCTGAACGTTTCCAAAAGAAGGATTCCCAACCCGGTCCCGAGAGGTGGTCAATTGCTGCTCTTTTGAATGCTGAGATTTCTTCGTTTTGTTTTATTTTTTAATTTTTTTTATTTTAAAAATGAAAAAACTACCAAAACTAGATGCTAGACATTATGCATTTTACCTCTTTGTGTCCCGGATGGTTTTTGTTTTCCTGCAAATATTCTTGAGCTTTATTCTCCGTTAAATGGCTTAGAAATAGTTCGATCCGTTTGGGTCTTGGTTGTTGCAGCGTGTCAGGTGGTGTTGGAATGGTGCTCAGTGTAGGGACCACTGGTCCCCATTCCTGAGGCAAAACTCCAAGATGTGAAGCTGATGCTTTGCATTCTTGGCCTGTGTGAGCCTGAGCCCTGCTCTCTTTGGTCCTGTTGGTGAGCCCTTCCCTAGCCTTGGATCGTTCACTCCCATATCTCCAGATCGATACTAGTACTAAGCTGAATACGAAGTACTCAGTAATCACTGAGGTCCTCTGTCCTTGAGAATTTCCCCTCTTCAGTACGCTGTCTCTAGTTCCTGAACCATCACCTTCTCCTCAGAGTACCCTAGGCTTCCCCTGCGTTTCCCCTCCTGACATTTTATCCTGAAAATTCACAGGGCACTGAGCTGCAGCATTCATGGGACTTGCTTTGTTTAATTACCATCTCTCAGGGTTGATTTTCCTTTCTGCTTGATGCGCAGTGTTAGGAAAAGCATTGTTTCATGTACTTTGTCCATCGCTTTCTTATTTCCACAAAAGGGTGAATCCATTCCCTGTCACTCTATCCTGTTGGGAAGTGGCAGCTTTAGAACTCTTCCTAGTCTCTTTGTGATTCTAATATACTGACAAATCAGGAATCACTGCTGAAAAGTGTAGTTCCGCTTTGGGCTGATGGTCTGTCCATAAAGATCCTCACCTAGAGACAGTTCATAATGATAATAATGAAGCAGTTACAATTGTGGAAATATTTTATCGCACTTTGAAACTACGTGAATTCTTCAATACCTTGCCCTTGTGCCATGCTACGAACTCTCTAAGAAGGAGCCAGTGTACACTTTCCCTCTATCCACAGAATCTTTGTACAGTATATGCTCAATAAAACTCAGTGGATGCTAAGTAGAAAGAAAAGAAATATACTTTCAACTTACCCAGTTGATCACTTTCCTTTGTAAGAAATTGAGAGTGATACAATTCAGAAAATTTGTTGATTGTTTTCTTTTCTTTTTTCTTTTTTTTTTTTTTGATACTAGGAATTGAACTTAGGACCTTGTGCTTGCCAGGCAGGTGCTTGTGCCGCTGAGCTATCCCCAGCCCTGTTGGTTGTTTTCTTAAATATGTTTAGTAAAAGACAACTACACCTTGTTCAATAATACCCATAAATCCTATAGGATTAAGAACATTTTCTGACATCAAGTTACCTAAATTTCTTCCTTCTAGTGTAAATGAGACTTTGTTATTTTGTCCTAATTTCACAAGGCCAGAATATTTGCTTATCCTTACTCTTAGATTCATAGGCTACTGCCAAGCCCCTAAGGAATCTCAAGAGAATCACTGGACTTCTGGCAACAGTCCTTCAAACCAAGTCTGGTATGATCCTGTTTTGCTAAGAGTAGTAACTAAGCTAAATATCGCTATTGCAGATGATTTCCCTGGTGACCTATTCCTCCAGCTGGCTGGCCCTACCTGTCTATCTTCAGAACATTTACATAAGCTTTTCATCACTTTTTTACGTCATTCATTCATTCAGCTGACATTTATTGACCATTGACACGTGCTACTCTTGTCACTCACTAACCAAAACCGTGTTTTTTTAGAGCATTTGTAAATACTAGTTTTCTTCCAGTAGCTGTAGGTTATGATCTCTAAATGTATTATTTTGGTGATTTTGGTATAAAATGTTACTCAGCATGGCCTTTTGCATAGGTTTATAGATAAATTTAGAAATTATAAACATCATGTTTCTATTTTACTAACTTCCTAGGCCTATCAGAATTATGTTAAGAGGAATGGTGAAGAAAAATTACTCCCTGGACTTGACCTAAATCACAAACAACTGTTCTTCTTGAACTTTGCCCAGGTACTACATCTTTCATGATGGATAAATATGAAAATCATTTTGAGTTAGAATTTCACAGTGTCAGGTATTATATGCTGACTTTTACTGTTTTCATCAATTTGCCAGCACATTTGACTTGAGTGACTTTCATTGTTTATGACAATGTCAGATAATATTCGTGCTAAACAGTTACATTCCTAGTTGCCTTTCATTGAGCATTATGTGAAGAGCAGTGTTTGAGGAATGCAGAACACCAATTCAATGCTGCTTTTTCCCCAGTATCCCAAGGTATCCATGATTAGAACTGAACACATTGCTTTGCTTTTCCCAAACCCCCCTCTAGGTTTGGTGTGGGACCTACAGGCCAGAGTATGCAGTCAACTCCATCAAAACAGACGTGCACAGCCCCGGCAATTTCAGGTAAGCGGGTACGAGTCAGGATGCTTCAGTATTAACTCCGTTGCCTCCACATTTGGAATTTGGCCTTTTGTAATCTGATTCTATTACTTTTGGGAATCCAATACAGTTTAGCAAGATGCTGTCTCAAAATGAAGAATAAGAAGGGCTGGAAATGTACTTCAGCACCAAGGCTCCACGTTCAGTTTCCAGTACCACAAAGTAGAAGCAAAAAAAGAAAAATTATTCACTCAAAAACTGTTTATTGTATGCCTGCTCTGCATAATATAAGCTATATTTAATTCTTCTAGTACATTTAGTTCTGCTGTATGTACTAAAAATTTCTTTGTTTAAAGTGCATTCCCTACCTTCTTAACACGGTATCCTGAATCACACTTAAGTTTTTTGATGAGACAGACTATTGTTTTGACCATTAATGATGCTTTGAGTATTTATTAATTTAGTGAAATCCTCTAAAACTGTTGTATCTATAACTATTTATTCTCATACCTGTGGAGCTGCTTTCTCCTTTATTCTGGCTTTTTATGGGGATCTCCTCTATGTTTGTTTCTTCCCTGCTACGAGAAATTACTTAATCTCTGTGCCTCAGCTTCTGGATGTACAAAATGCTCCTTAAATTATTGTGTGAGTTGCTGGAGGATTAATGCTAATGCTCATGACGTGCCTGTTAGAAATATGCATTTGAAAATAGTACTACGATTATTTCTACATCAGAGGTCTGTGCAGAATGAAAATCTTAGTGGAAAAAGTTACAGACTTTAAAGTATTTCCGTATCACAAGAGAGTCAAGTGCTTTTCCTTGTTCGTTTCTAATGCTCAGCCCAAGTCCTGGTGTCAGTAATTGATTATGGTTAAGTGATGCACAGGTGAGTATGCAACTGTTTTCTACCCTGAAAACGATACTGGTTATAAGTATGTGAGATTAGTTATGTCTTTCTTGTTTTTTTGGTTCTGGCTCCAAAGATAACTCTGGCTATTTTTCATTCATAATAACAGGGCTGTGTGTGTGTGTGTGTGTGTGTGTGTGTGTGTTTAAGGGTGAGTGAATGCCAACCTTTTGTCAAGGAAATTATTATTTTCCCTGGAGGTAAAAGGATTTCCTTGGCAAAAGGTTGAGGTTCCATTTAGTTTTGGAAACAGGCTGCTTCCTGGCTATACAAAGTAAAACAGTTGTTAAAATATTTAAAAACAAATACACATTCACCAAGCAAAAATTGTGCTTGGTGGTGTATATAAAAAATATTTCCAACATAGAGAAGGACTTATAATCATATTCTTAAACAGCAACAGTACTAAAAACAAAAGCCAAAATATACTTGATGCAAAGATGAAATCTATAAAACTATTATTTTTAGGTCCAAGCTATGATGGGCTGATTCTTCCTAACAAAAACTTCATCTATTTTAATATAAACCCTTAAAACTTTCAAGACTTAAAACACAAAAATTTCCTGATGAATATGCTACAAGTTAAATCTGTAATTTAAACATTGCCTTCTTTTTGGAAACCTCGTTTTTAGTTAGCCAACCAGAACCACATAATAACACTTACTATGTAATCAACAAATGTGTTTCTAAAGTTATTTAGATATAATTCTATATTACATATGTAAGGGTCTGATGATTTTTTAAGGCAAGTTAAAGTAAACAAAAAATATTTAAATGCTTCTATTGCCCAATATTATTTTCCACACATGGAATAAAAAACACTTGATAGAGACCCAAAATATAAAGAGCAAAATAAAAGATAGTAAAGAGGAGAAATAGACCCTTTGTAAGAGGGACAGGGACAGAAAGATAGAGGGAAGGGGGAGAAGGAAAGGAAAGGCTATGATAAAAAAATTAAGATGTGTTATGTACATGTTCCCACTCCCCATGAGGAATGTAACCAATACGTACTGGACCTATGTACTAATAAAAAAAAAAACTGAAAAAATAAAAATAAAATCTGAGATGTTTCACCAAAGAAAAAAAACTAATACCACTAACAAGTCAAGTAATGCTTTTCCCAGCTTAATTTCCAATATCTTTAAAGAAATATTCTTTCTAGTATTTTACATAAGTATCTTCACCTAAGTATACACCTATCTTGTTTCTCCTGATAATTTAGCATGATTAAACTAACCTTTCTCTGCTTACCTTAAGTATTAACATTGGTTCCTGATATTTTGGTGAGCTTTTTAGAAGCTTCTTAGCTTCTGTTAATATTTAGTACTTACCTAAATATCTCTTCCACTTTTTTTCCTTTTCCATTGTGCTGCATATCAAACCGAGGGGCTTCCACATGCTAGGCAAATGCTAGGCGCATACTCTACCATTGAGCCACACCTCCCAGCCTCATTTGTGTTTTCCATTACTGGGGATTGAACCCAGGGCTTCAACATGCCAGGCAAGTGCCCTGCCACTGAGCTACACTGCCAGCCCTAATCTCTTCAACATTGTGTAGTGGCATACGCACTCCTCAATGTGCCTTTGCTCTGAAAGAATCATACAGATTTGTTAATGATGAAGATTACTTGGTTTATTCATGAAATGAAGCCAGTTAAATTTGAAGTCCATTCATTTGCTTTAAAGAAGTGGTAACAGGTTGTCAGAAGACCTATTAATTGCAAAAAGTTTATTCACTGACTCAAATATCCAGTTATTTGTAAGCAGAAATAATCAAATATGTTAGAGATCAAAATGTTCATTCTTTGTCAGTGGGTGTTCAGTTATATCTCTTAAATGTTTTTAACACAATTCATCATTTTCCAAGGCAATAAACAGCTGCAGTGTAATGCATCATTTTATACAATAAAGTAAAAATTTCAAGTAAATCACCTTAAGAAATAATGAAAATATTTCTGTTTTGTTATTAGCATGCAAATGCAAGAGTTACAGAGTTTTAATATAGATTGAAACTCATGTAGTACTGTATGTAATATTAATGAAACATCTCTTTTTGAGAAGGGATACATTATATAAATGATGTATCCATTTTCCAAATGATTATTCATATCACTCATCCAAAGATTTAATGTTATTAACACCAAACATTACTTAGAAACCTAGGAAAGTAAGTGAAGCCCTAGTGTGTTGTTGACCTAATTATTCAGAACCATCTAAGTGAAGTCTTTGGTTGGGAAAAAGAAATGGGATAGAGGTGAGGAGCTGAGTGTTTATTAGACTGAGGGGTTCTGCATCTGTAATTTCCAGGAATGTTTTCCAAAAAACATTTTGTGTATTTGTTTTGTTTTTAATTTAAAAGAAATGTAAAATTAAGTTATGAGTTTGGGCACCCAATATTTGCTCCCACGTTACTAAACCAAAGACAGTCCTTTGAGAAACTTTTAATAAACTAAAAGCAAAAAGTACGTTTCTTCCAGTTCTTTTTTAGACTTCTGCTGCAAAGCAAGGAACTGGCTCCCCAGCATGAGAAATGCCCAAGCCACCGTGATGACTGTCCGCAGCCAGGGTCCACCTAGGGACAGAGAGATACTTCCTGAACTGGGAGGAGGATTGGAGTAAATTAATCAAAACTTCTTTCTGCTTTAGTGTCTTAGACCTAGAACCTAAGAGACTAAAGACCAGTAAAAACCCCTGTCTTCTTTTTCCTGCATATACAGTCATTTTGGTTACTGTTATAGGAATGAAAGTGGTTTGTTTGTTTGGCCCATGAACAACGGAAATGTGCTTCTCACAGTTCTGGAGGTCTACCATCTTCAAAGATGAAGGCCTTAGCATAGGCAGTCTCTTTGAGCGCTGTCTTCCCCATTGCAAACCACAGACTTCTCACTGTGTCTGCACGTGCTCAAAGGAGGGACTTGCTCTTTAATATTTCAAGTACAAGAAATGAACACTTAATAAATCAAATTAAGCCAGGCTCTAAGCTCATAGTCTAAGCTACAAGATAAGTGACATTTCGGTAGTTTTTCAGTGGACTATAGGACTTCCGGGTTATTCAAGAATCCTTCACCAAAACCTCACGTATTTGGAAGGTGATTGGATCATGGCCACACCATACCCATCTGAGGATCAGCCCACTGAGTTCACCGCTATTTGTTCTTAGAAGATAAGGCCTGCTCTGAAGAGGCAGCCAGCGGGGCAGTGAGCTGGAGGGGTGCATCGCCCTCATCAGCTCCTCTGTCCTCGTTCTGCTTCCAGCCAGCGTGATGTCAGCAGCTTGCCTCCACCCAGGCCCCGCCACCTTGCTATTTCTGCCTTGGAGCAGACTATGAACAGAAACCTTTTTTTAAAAAAACAGCCAAAATGAGCCCCTTTCCCTTTACACTGGATTCTCACGGTCTGAGGGCTCCATCCGAGTCTGGTGCCCGGTTCCTTCCAGCGGTCGTAGGCAAGGGCGCCAGAGCCTCCGCTCTTCCCGTCAGGTCCACCAGCAGGCACAGGCCATCCTCCCTGGACCTGGCGCTTGTCATTCACACAGGCTGCATCACTGCAGTCCAGGCCCCTGGAAGCTAATGCTCTCCCTCTCGAGTAAGCTAATCGATAAAGACTCCTGGCCTTTACCCCACTTCACCTCAAATGCCAAGTTGTACCCGTGGTAGTATGTCTGCCACAGATGGAAATTTCTGAAAATTAGAAGACTTCCAAGTCATGTTCCTGGTCTTCCCACCACTCCAGTACCCTTGACTCCAGGACCTTCTTCCCAACACACGCTGGGTGTGGCACTGGTCCTAGCAAGAGGGACAGAGAAAAGCTGGCTCAGGCTTGGCATGGCACATCACCTCTGCATCACTGTATGGACCTGTCTCTCCCCTCCATCACTGCGTTGGGCTGATAGAGTTAGATGTTGTTGTTTTTGCCCACTGGGGTCAGAGATAAGAAGAAATGGGCATTTTTCCATCCTTTCCAGTTACTCAGGCTGAATCCGGTTTCTGATATTTAAGGAGTCCTTTTGGGGTAAAAAGAACTTCTCTAATATCCCTACCAAATCAAGTCAGTATATAGCTATTAAAAAACCAGTTACTGAAGTTATTGTGTGAACCTTTTTAAGATACAGTGAGAAATCATTTTATTCTTTAAACTCTTCTTACAAAAGCTGCAATTCCCAATGTGAATTGCTAATTCATTTTTAAAGCATATATACCATGTTTATAAATTATTAAATCTCCATTACAACCCTGAAAAGCAGGGACTATTGTTATGTTTATTTTACAGATGAAGAAACTAAGATACAGAGAATCCTTATAAATCAGCTTTCAAACCAGGCGATTTGTCTCCAAAATCTCTGCTCTCAACTGCTGTACTTTGTTACCTCTCTATGTAAAATTCTGTAGATGAGAAGGAATTGACCATTATACCAGCTTTTTTTCCTTCCTTTTAAATATTAAATTTTCAGATCCACTCACCCATCCTGCATTGAGACATTTTACAGGGCTTTAACATAGTATGGACAGAAATGACAAATGCTTTTGGTGACGTTTTTTTGTTTGTTTGTTTCAAAGGATTATTGGGACTTTGCAGAATTCTGCTGAGTTTTCAGAAGCCTTTAATTGCCAAAAGAATTCATATATGAATCCAGAAAAGAAATGCCGGGTTTGGTGATTTTCGAAGAAGGCAGTGTATTCCCTAGCTCGACTTGCCAACACCGCAGAGATGGGGAACTCTTCAGCCAAGAGAAAGTGGGCTCCGAGGTCACTGCAGTTCCTTGGACTAAATAACAGATGAAAGCATCATAATACAAGCCACATTAGGTTATTCTGGAAAGAGTATGAAGGGGGCGGGGCTTAAGGTCTGTCAAATCAACCACTTCTTACATGTAAATAGTGATTAATTCCTATAGATGTTATTACAGTTCGTTTCTATTTCTCATACGGTCTGTCACTCTGAAGTTTTCCCTAGAAAATAGTGTTAACCACTTGTGGCTGACCAGGATTTCTGTGCAAGGGGTGAAAGAAGATGTTGTGTTCATACAGTTGGGCCCCAAAATCACAATGGTTCTATGATCATTTTAAACACATTCCTTAAATACTTGTTTTTACTTTTATTTGCAATATTTACGCTCCTCCAAAACTCTTCCAAAGAACTCTTATACGTATTGGGGCCTTGAGGCTTACATAGCTTTAAACTCATTTGCCACACATCAGTGTATTGTCATCATTTTATTTTAGGCACTGTTAGGGCAAAAATGAATGTCTAAAACTTGTGTCGTACCAGTTTTACTGATATTAAGGCCCGTACAATTTTCTAACAACTCTTGCTCTCTCTGTATCTCAAAACTTGGTCTTTTTAAAGGATTTGTAGTAATGTATAAATAATAATTTTTATATTTAACTGTTAACTACACTTATAACTAAGTAACTGTAATTATAGGTAATCATTAAATATTGAAGTTTCAGACCAAGATAAATTGTTATGAACCAAGATCTGTAAAGTGATGTACAGATGAAAATTTGAGATATTTTTAAACTTATAAATCATATTGATGAAAAGCTTTAAGCACAAACTTTGGAGTAAAAATTGTCGTTGAACAGTTGACTGGAGATATAATCTTATGGCTTACAAATGGGATTTTTAAAAGTAAATCTGTCCCTAGGAGTGGCTATTATAAAAGGGCAAAACAGCATCTACATAGCTCTGTGACCCCTTATCTTTTCGGGTTTGTCAGGGATGAAAATATTTTGATAATAAATTGAAGTTGTGAGCCCATTACTCACTAAGCCTGTGTGTGAGCTGTCTGGCTTTAGAAAATGCATTTACTTCTAAATAAGAATGGGAGGCCTCGAGTAGACCTGCTTCTGGAATTCTGAGTCATGTAGACTTCTGGGAGGCAGGTGGGTTTAGGCCCTAAGAAGGATTCATCTCTTGAGCTTTTATGTTCCTCTCCTTCCCTGTCCTATTGGCTAATTTAGCTCATTTCATTACCTGGAGAAGATTTTACAAAAGAAGTACAGTTCCATAATCTTTAATTTTTCTCACAAATGGTAAAAATTGAGAGAATTTCTATCCACAATTTAGGTATTGGTTTTCTGTGTATTTCCTTCTTGAAAAATTCCCACTTGCCTTTAAAAAATGTTATTAAAATAAAGCATACTCTCATATACATAAAAATTAAATATAGCAGAAGTATAGAGGTCACAGAAATCACTCTCTTAGAACATCTGAAACCTATAGCCAACACCGATAAAACACAGAAGATTGCCTTAGAAGCCCACCTTGTCATTGCAATCCTCCACAGACAACTACTATCAAGATCTCTAATAGAGTACACCGAATCTGCCTGTCTTTGTCTTTTAGATAAATAGAATCAGTCAGCGTATGTTCTTTCATGTGCGACTTCTTTCTTTCAGCCTTACCTTTGTGAGAGTCACCTATATTGTTACACTGATTATGGACCTTTAATTCTCACTGCGGAATAGTATTCTGTTGTGTTATACTATAAGTCATTCATCCATCTTATTGTTGATAGGATCTTGAGAAATTTCCTGTTTCAGACCTTTAGAAATAGTGTAGCTATGAGTTATAAACTCTGTCTACATATAATATTTTTACTTAAAGCTAGTGGACCATCTCCCCAAATCTTTCCAAAATTTTTTATAAATATTGAAAATATAATTTCAGCTAACCGCAAATATATTTATCCTTTCTCCTTTTAACACAACCACCGTTATTATGGACAATTCAAAGTACATTTTATGTCTATATTTATTTAAAATAAATACACTCAAGTGGTATTTGTAGTTGAAGTGATAGGAGCTCCCAGTGCTTAATAAAACAGCTGTCTCTGACAGCTATTTTACTCCCCTCTGCTCAGAACCACTGACGAGGAAAAAGGGGAAAGTAGTACAGATTATAAAAGGCCGTTAGTATCCCCGCTGATAGCTCCTTATAACAGTAGACTCCCACCCTGTGGAGGAACAACTCCAAGGCTTGGATCCCTGCTCTGTGTATAAGTGCGATATTTCTGGAGCCAAGAGAGAGATAAAAGTCAGAACAGCAGTTCCTTCTCCTCCCACATCCAGACATTATTAACTGTACATTGTGCTTTTATTGAGTCATGTGGAGCCTTATGATCTCTCTCAACTAGTCCTGACCATTTGGAATTGCCACATTTGATAATACACATATATATATATACAATCTTACACATAAATCTATTTCCACAATGGCTGACTTCTCTTCAAGGAAAGAGTTTGGCAGCAGAGACGCCAGGACTGGGAACTGATACAACTCAGAACTGAAGCCGGAAAGAAGCTCTTGGTAGCACGTGTTACTAAGGAATCCACCTCCAGGTCTGGGGATTTAGCTCAGCGGCACAGCGCCTGCCTGGCAAGCGCAAGGTCGTGAGTTTGATTCCCGGTACTGGGAAAACAAAACAAAAAAAAACAGGAATCCACCTCCATGCTTCACGGTCTGTGTGGACTCTAAGTGCAGGTGGAGAGGATGTTACCCTGGAGTATGTCTCTGTTCCAGTCCTCTTCTGCTACTACAGGCAAGGAGACTTTGGGCATTTGTATGTTCTTTTGGGCCTGTGTTTCTGCCACCCAAATAAAAATGAATTAGATTCAGCTGGTTCTCACCAAAAAAAGGATTATGTGTCCATTGCTTCCTTACCCTTAATCTGTATCCCTGGTAAGAACCACTGGGCAGATCCCCCACTGAAATTCCCCACTGAAATGCCTGAGTCCCATTAGAACACAACTGAGCCCAAAGAACAAGGACCAAAGATTTTTTCAAGTTTGGATCTGTGCACTTGTTAATATTAGGCATTCAGATAAGGAAAAGGCTTGCTAATTTTCTCAAAAGCTTTATCTTTCCTGTTGCCACAGCTAGCTCTTAAAGTGGAAAACATCTGTTAGTTTGGAAAGAAGAGAAGATTCTGCTCTGTCAAAGAAGGATAATCAGAAATTTTTAAATCAAGTCCAAGTCTCAAGAATACAGAATAACAACCATTTTTTCATACTATTGTTTTTATACCTAGTGCACGGTATTTCAAACTCCTAGTCTCCTTTTAAACCACACCCCATATGTCTTGAAAAATATTAAGACTAAATGGAGCTTTTATCTCTACCTAGTCTTACATTTTCTGTCTACTTCAAAATGAATTTTATATAAATAAATGACATAAACTGTTTTAGCAGTATTGTCTTGCTTTCACCACGCCTACATCCAAAGACACCATAGTTTTCTGATGAGATTACTTTTCAAAATATGTAAGTGAAATGTTTGCAGAATGTCATAGGGAATCACAGGCATAATCAGGTAACTTACGCAGAACGCCCTGTACTGCCCCTGGGCTAAAGAACCTGACCAGTTGGTTCTGCAGGAAGAGAGGAGTTATATCTGACTACTGTCAATGGCACGTTTATTTCATTCTAGTTGGTTTCCTTTTAACAGTATTTACTTACCTGCAGCTCCTTTGTGCTTCACATTTTCTCTAAAATAGTAAGGAACACTCTTGCCATTTTCAACCTCATAGGCAAAATGTTGTGCTTATATTCTGCTTGACAAAACAGATCTGGGTAATACAAGAGAAGCCTTGCAGAAAAATAAGCATTTAGCTCTTGCCAGAAATAATCATGGGCTGTCAACTGGGAAGAGTGCAAAGACTGGAAAGTCTTTCCAGTATGTTGTTTAATTTTTATACTCCACGGTCTTCTTTCTACTCAGAAACTAAGAATTCTGCCGGTAACAGGCATATTAACATCTTACTTCATTCCTAGAAGTGTACTTGATACCATCTTAGAGCTGGTCATCTCAAGTTATGATACATGCTAGAAACTTACTCTATGTCCAGGAAGACTCACACAGGTAAAGTACCTGGATTATCGTTTACCTTGGTATAAATCGTTCACCACGTGCTATGAGTGCTGTATGTCTCCCTGAAATGCAGCATCAGAGATGTAATGTTGAAATATTTGTGGCAGTTTTGTAGTGTCAGAGAAATAGGGATCTCAAAAACCTAAATATCAGAAAATGTTTGTTAAGTGAAAACAAAAAAAGGCACAAGTTAAATATGTTATTTCAATTTCATTAAAATACTGTTGCATAGAAAAAGAATTGAAAGAATATGCCAAAACTTAATCAGAATTATCTCTGTGTGGTAGTTTGGTAGCTGATTCTTATATTTTCTTTTCTTTCTTTCCTTTTTTTTTTGTGTGGGGGGGGATGTCTAAGTTTTAAACTTTTCTGTGATGGGAAAATGTTAGTATTGAAAAATCAGTTTTCAAAATGTTACTTGAAAGAAAAAAGGAGGCAATATGAAAGGGGACAAAATGAGGAAAAACACTGACCAAAGGGAAAAAAAGCTATGATTTCCCTAAATTTACGTTTTCTAATTTATGTAAGGGCTTATTCAGTGTGGTGCTTCTGGCAGTGCAGAGCAGGTGTGGTGGATTTCGGTCAGGCGGACCCTGCACTGCAATCAGAGCCGCGATCACGGGATCAAACACGGGGCACCACCTGTGTGCAGTACAGTGTCCCAGACCCACTCGAAGATAAAAATAAATGAAAATCGCTGCCTTGTCCTGGAAGGGAGCCGCTAAATGGTACACAAGCACGTTACATTTAATGAGCTGAAGGCGTTTTCTTCATGCTAACGTCATCCTGAGGGAAATTGTACTTAAATTCTCCTTGTTTATATGGATAGGATTTTGACCATTGGAGGAGATGAGGAAATGTTTTGGTTTAAAATCAGACCACAAAAGAGTGAGAATTCGCAGACGCCGTAGCAATGCTGGCTTCAGAAGGGCAGTGCAGAGTGGGCACACAGGTACTCCCTGTTCACGGTTCACTTTCTGACATGTAACAGTGAGTGTCGTCCTTATTTATTCACTGAGCATCTGATACTGTTCTCGAAATCTGCTTGCTATCTTTCTGCTTCGAGAGACGTCTTGTGGTTTCTTGGACTTGCAAGCAGTTGTGTGATAAAGATAACATTGTGTCCTATTCCTGGGAATTTAGAACTGTGCTCTATTTCAGTTCCTATTGCTAACTCACTGCACAAAGCAAATAACTAAATTCTCTGAATTTTTATTGTCTCAGAATTAAAATCAGAGCTGGAATGGAGGCTTTCTCAAAAACCAGAAGGCAGACAGAAGGAATGTTTCACCCAAATCCTTAAAAATGACAGAATCTATCAGCCTTGTGTGGAGAGGGCACAGCGTCGTAGAGAAATCTGAACCTAAAGAGATCCAAACAGGCCCAGGGACACCCAGAGTCAAAACAGAAAGCAGCCAACTGGCTAAATGGCCAGGATTTGGCTCATCTAAACCTTATTTCCTCCTCTACAAAGTGGTCATTCTCACACGCACATCAAGAGGACGGATACAGACCAGCTGCCAAGAAATTGTATTTTCAACCGCATTGAAACTTAATACCTTTTTATTTCCCTGGCACAAATTAAATTCTGTGGACCTTTAAAAACATGAAAATGTTTGGCTAAAAAAATGGAATATTTTTAACCATATTGTTTTTCCTTTTGTGTTGCTGTGAGGTGCTTACCTGATACCTCTTGAATCAGCTTTCACATTTTCAGTGCACATTCTTAAAAAAGAGAAGACAAAAAGTGCAATCCTGTAAATAATAAAGGATGTTTTCAAAGGTACAGAGAGCAAAAATGAGAACACGCTCAAAACAGAATTGAATTTTGAGAAAAGCAATGAAGTGGGGGGAACAGTTTATAGCTCATGATACAAATATCTTCACCTCACTTAGAAAG